CCCGCCTGTGGGAGGCGCCTTCAGGTCCACCAAGTACAGATGGATGTGGTTTCCCCTCCAGTGAAGATGGTGCACCAGTGAGAGCACAGGGACCCTCCTGTCCCACGTCACAGCCCAGGGACCCCTCCCTCTGGTGACCGGGACTCCGAGGGCTGCTCAGTGCGTTTCCCGGGAACACACTCAGGACCAAGGTCCAAGGAGGACGTCTCTCCAGACCTTCCACGCCTTGTGGTGCGCGTTCAGGATCACAGAGATCTGATGGGACGGACCCATAAGCATCATGGCGTTTGCAGGCCTCCCGTGGGCCAGTGGGAGGAGCCACAACTCATTCATGCAGGAATTGACTTTTATCACGTGTGTGGTGATCTTCATAGCTGTGTCATTGTGTTGTTGGGATAGTCTCAGGTGTGCTATAATTTTTTTGTGTTGTTTTAGCTATAAAAAGGTAATATGCTAATTAGCCTGACACCGTATCAGACAAGTCCAGTCACAAGGAGGCTTCCTGGGCAGGTGAGGCGAAGAGCAGACTCGGACAGGGGCCTGGTAATGCTCTACCCACGGCTCACCAGCTGTCCCCACTCTGCCCGTGAGCTCAAGAGGAAACACCTGATTTCACCGCTCATTGGCTGAGCTCCCAGAACTCCTCTCACAGTGCTCTTGGTAACTTGGGTGGGAAGAATCCAAGAAGGTGATCTAAGCTTATTCCCCCTCCCTCCTGGAGAAACAAACAAAGGACAGCTGCTGCTGAAGGGGCTAAGAAATGTCACATCCTGCCCTAGCAGGTTTGGCTCAGTGGATAGAGCCTCAGCCTGCCGACCACAGGAACTGGTTTGATTCTGATCAAGGGCATGTACCTACGTTGCAGGCTCCTCCCTGGCCGGGGCCCCAGGTCAGGGCTCATGCAGGAGGCACCAATCGAACTGCCTCTCTGACATTGATGTTTCCCTCTGTCTTTCCCTCTCTCTTCCATGCTCTCTGAAAACCAATGGAAACGTATCCGCAGATAAGGATAATTAAAAACAATAAAGAACGGGCATATCCTATAAAAGAGAATTGTTGAAAAGGCCAGAAGAAAGTGGTCTTTTCACCACGGTGAAGGGACCGGAGTCCACGTGCATGGAAACACCTGGGCAGCTGTGGCCGCTGCAGTGAGGTGATGGGGGTGACGCCTACCGACCGGTCACCACACACAGGCGGGGACCAGCCTGCGGCCGGGGCTCATTGCCCACAGGGAGCAGGGCAAACTGTCAGGAGGTCATCCCTGAGAGCTCCTGGATTGGAGAGGGTGCAGGCTAGGCTCAGGGGAACACCCCTCCCCATGCAGAATTTCATGCACCAGGCCTCTAGGATTTTAAATAAACTTTACTGCCTGTACATTCTGACTCATTATCCTATTTTGTGACAAAGGTGAGATTGTGATGTGTCTGCAGACTCCGTGACTGTCTGGGCAGTGGAACGCAGAAACCCTCACATCCTCACTGACTGGAATCCTCAGCAGGAACTTGACACTGTTCCCTGAAGCCCTCATGTGGGGACAGAGCTAAGAGCTGAGGAGCCTGAGGGAGAGAGGAGGGGAGGGAGGCAGCAGCAGAGGAGGTAGGAGGGCAGAGAGGGGTGACTGAGAGTCTGTGCTGGTGGGGACCCACCTTCAGTGGTTTGTTCAGAGAAGAAGGCTGTGTCCATGACCAGGGGGAACACGAACGTACATGTGACAGGTCAGGAGTCACTCAGGGTCAACACGTGACAAGAATGTGTGGGGAGCACGGCTGTCTGGGGGACCCTGTGTGGGTGCAGACACAGGGTGTGAGATGACAGGAAACACACGCTGGTCTCGGCCCCTGGCCCCGGCACAGGCTCCTGAGACCCTTGTCACTCCCTGGGGGTCAGGCGGGCCTGTGGCTGTTGAGGGGGCACTGGGCGGGCCCCTGGGTGAAGACTGGCCACGAGAGAGGATGAGAAGCTGGGGAGCCCCTCACCTGCGCCCCACTCCATTAAAGGGAGAGGGCTCAGATGCAGTTAGCAAATTCATAGAATGCAGGAAGGGAATTATGGGAACCATAAATGATATCAATGTAGTTGGGTGAATCCTGGGACCTCCTGCCTGTGATTGGTCCCTGACCTGTGGGCATCAGGGAGACTGGCCCTTTAACTGCGGTCTGACACCCTCTCTGGGCAGATGGGTGAGCACTGAGTGCTGTTGGGGGGCATCAGCTGGGGTCAGAGAACTGCTGTCGGGGAGCCACTCCCCACACATTGGGGCCCCGAAGGGCCTGGAGGGGAGAGCGGGGGGAGCAGCAGAGCACACACAGGAGGGAGGAGCTGAGACTGACCAGGAATGTTCCTTCTTAGAATCCCGGACACGGGGTGGAGGGCGGGGCTCCCTGACCTCCCGGTGCTCCTGGGAGGCCTGTGCTGCTGCTCCACCGAGTGCGACATCCCTCCTCCCGGGACACAGGTCCCTGCAGAGGAGCCACCGACAGAGGCCCCAGACGCTCCTCGCTGAAGGAGGCTCAGAGCCACCGCCTCGGGAGCAGGGTTTTTGTCTCACTTCCTCGTCCTCTGAGACACTGTGGGTAACGGTTGCTGTTCCCATCGCCCAGATCTGCATTGCAGTAATAGTCAGCCTCATCCTCAGGCTGCAGCCCCGAGATGGTCAGGAGCCCCTCATTGGCCGAGGCGTCTTTGGATCCAGAGAAGCGGCTGGGGACCCCAGAGCCCTGGTACTTATCTGAGTCTGACTTATATCTCAGGAAATACCGGGGACGGCTCCCTGGCTTCTGCTGGTACCAGCGGATATCGTAGTCACCAATATTGAAGCCGCTGCTCAGGGTGCAGGTGATTGTGACTGTGGCTCCCGGAGAGGCAGAGAGGGAGGGCGGCTGGGTCACAACAAGCTGCTGGGAGAGGGACCCTGCAGACACAGACACTTGTCAGTGAGGGACAGGGACCAGGGGCAGGTTCCCAGGAGACCGAGCAGGAAGGGAAGGAGCCTGGGCCCAGGCCTGGCCCTACCTGTGCAGTGAGAGAGGAGCGCCAGGAGCAGAGGAATCCAGGCCATGGTGCTCACAGCCCTGAGCCCACAGTGGGGCTGGGCTGCCCAGGCCTCCTTTTCTCCCCTGCCCTCTGCCAGAGGAGGGGCTGCCATGCAAATGTGTGTGCTAAACTCCATGCTGCAGCCTCCTGGCCAGGCCTTAGCCCATCCCTCAAAGAGCTACTGCGTCAGCATGCAAACTCCCCAGCAGCCACTGTCTCTGTGTACAGAACTGTAGGACGAGCCCTGAGGACCTGCCCGGAGCGGGAATTTGTCCCCAACTGGCCTGGAAGAAGGAGACTGGATGGAGCGAGACTGTTTCTGGGCTAAAGGGGGCTCGTGGGCCTGCGCTCACCTGTGCTGAGTTCTTTGGGTCCCACGCCATCTGGAATGTGAGCAGGGAGAGTGCAGGACCTGGTCATGTTTTTCTTCATCTTTCAATCCCGTGTGTGATTGAAAGACTCCCTCAGGGAGGGAGCCAGCGAAGGGGGTCTCTCATACTGTCAGGTGCTGTGTGTAAAGGTCACACACGGACTGCACACCTGGTCTGGCCACAAGCTGTGCTCCACGCTAGGGGTTGAGGGCATTCCATTTAGTTGGGTCCGGGTTGTCTGACAGAGATGCCAGCTCTCATGCCCTTGGTCCAGCTCAATGGCATGAACAGGAGTCAAAGCCAAAGGCCTCCTAGTGGCTGAGCACATTTCCTCTGAGCTTGGTGGTTCTCAGACTCGGTGGCTCCCCTGCCCCGGGGGGTCCTGGGAAATGTGTGGGGGTGCTTATTGGCCATGACTTAGCGAAGAGGGGCCACTGGCTCGTGAGGGGTGGAGTCCGAAGGATGCTTCTAGACGTCCAACATGCACAGGACGGCTTCTGCTGCAAGGGTGTGGGCTCAGCGACCCTGTTCAGAACTAACTCGCCTCCGGGAAGTGAGGAGACTGTCCATGAAGATATGGGTGGAAATGTTCATGTTTTGGACATACCATCTAATAAAAGAGTAATGTGCAAATTGACCGTCACTCCAACACACAAGATGGCTGCCCCCAGGTGGGCAAAAGATGGCCGCCACCAGACGGCCAGCAGGGGAGGCAGTTGGGAGGGACCAGACTTGCAAGGGATGGCAGTTGGGGGTGACCAAGCCTGCAGGGTAGGGCAGTTAGGGGTGACCAGGCAAGCAGAGGACAGAAGTTGGTGGCGACCAGGCTTTCAGAGAAGGGCAGTTGTCAGGTCTCAGGTTTGTAGGGGAGGGATCAATCAAGGTGGCAGGGGAGTGGTTAGGGGGGATCAGGCTAGCAGGCACATCCTACAGAACTTGGGCCTAAAGGGCCAGTTGGACATCCATCCAGGTGTCCCAGATTAGAGAGGGAGCAGGATGGGCTGAGGCACACACAGCTCTTGCACGAATTTCATACACCAGGATTCTACTAGAATATAGAAGCTCAGCAAGATACTCTATGGCACTAAAGCAGAGGCAGGAAAGTGCCCTCTTCTGGTGGGTGGTAGGAGTGCAGCCCAGGACAGCGAGGCTCTGGGGAGTTTTTGTCTCACTTCTCCATAGACCTGAATCACTGTGCTTATAGCTGTCATAACCAGACTGACAGTAGTAGTCGGCCTCGTCCTCGGGCTGCAGCCCTGAGATGGTCAGGTGGGCAGTGTTGGAGGAGCTGTCGATGGAGCCAGAGAACCGGCCTGGGACCCCCGAGGGTCTTTTGTCATATTCATAGATCAGCAGGGTGGGGACACTGCCCGGGCGCTGCTGGTACCAGTACACATAGTTGCTTCCAATGCTGCCGCTGCTACGGGTGCAGGAGATGACGGCCTTCTGTCCCGGAGACCCCGACACGGAGGGGGGCTGAGTAAACACAACATCTGCCCAGGACCCTGCAAGGAGGGGGGACACAGGCATCAGAGGGGCCAGCACAGACCCGGGCCCAGGGAGGGAGGCCAGGGCATGCTCCCAGGGGACACACCTGTGCAGTGAGCCAGGAGGGCGAGGAGAAGTGGAGCCTGCTCCATGGTGGACGCGCCCCACACTCTGCTTCCTGAGCCCACAGCCAGGCCTGAGCCCGCACCTTCTTATAGGCCTGAACCCAAGGGGGAGGCCCATGCAAATACCCCCACAACCTTCTGTCTGCAGCTGCTGAGGCTCCTCCTTCACACATGGCCTTGGTTCCACCAGAGAAGAGCCTGGAGATGGGACCTCATTGCACAAAAGACCTGCCTGAGGCTGGGGGAGGGACAGGGAGGGGCAAAGCTGAACAATAGGGAGCAGCCAGCAGGGGCTACCACCACAGCGCCCCCTGTGGGACACAGGGTGCATGTCAGTCAGCCCTTGGGTAGGGAAAGGTGAGCCTGAGGAGGAGAGGGGTGCAGGCCAGGCACCCACCAGGGGCCAAGGGTGGCCTGGGGCAGCCCTGCCCCCAACCCCCTGGCAGCCGTGCCCACTAACGGGCTGGACTCGGAGGTCTGGCCCCACTTCCTTCTGGCTGCACCTCTCCCTGCGCAGGGATCGGGGGCCTGGGCTCCGTCTGTGGGTGGAGGGGGCACACAGCTGTCCCCTGTCCCCTGGGAGCCGCCTGGGAGGGGCAGCGGCTGGGCCAGCGCCTGTGGGAAGGCGGGAGCAGGCGCTTGTGCTCAGGAGGCTCTGGGCCAGCACCTCCCTCTGTGAGCACAGAGCCCAGTCCCCACTCGGTGGTGCCCTCACTGTCCCCACTGGATCCTCCCTCAGCCCTGCATGGCCCCCGGCTCCTCCTCCCCGGCCCCCGCCCGGCTCTGGCCTTCTCCATGGCTGTGACGTTGTCCTCTGACCGGGCCGCGGGCTGATACAGGGATTGACACCCGGTGTGGCCGGTGCTGGGCCACCGCCAATGGGACCCAGACCGGAGTGTGTGGGGGTGTGGATGCTCCCTGAGGACATTCTCCCACGGGTTGTTAGGGAGCGTGGAAGGGAGAGGGAGAGACAGACAGAAACTTCGATGGGAGAGAAATGTTCCAACTGGTTGCCTCTTGCACTTGTCCCAACCAGGACATGATCCGGCTCAAGGAGGGGCCTACAATGGAGATACATGACCTTGATGGGAATCGAAACCAGGACCCTTCAGTATGCAGGGTCTGTCCACTTAGCCAAACCAGCTAGGGACTAAAGTGACTAATATTAATACATTTAATGTGGAGTGGACACTGACACCCGGTAGGGGAATATTCAATCCATGTAGAAGAAGCAATGGAACGATGCTGAGAAGTGAGCTGTGGCCTGAGAAACCCTCCATTCAGGAGGGACGGGGAGTGAAAAGAGCAGGTTAATCGAGGCAGCGTTACCTCTGCTTTCTTTTCTTTTCTTTTTTTGTTTTTATATTAAATATTTCTTAATTTTTCAATTACAGCAGGAACTTGTCACTGTTCCCTGAAGCCCTCCCTTGGGAGTGAAGCCGAGAGTTGAGGAGCCCAAGGGAGGGAGAGAGGAGCAGAGGAAGGCAGCAACAGAGGAAGGAGGAGGGCAGGGAGGGGTGACTGAGAGTCGTTGCTGGTTGGGACCCACCTTCTGTGGTTGGTTCAGAGAAGGAGGAGGCTGTGCCCATGACCAGAGGGAACACGAACATGTCACATGTGACGGTTCTGGAGTCACACAGGGAACACACGTGACAGGAATGTGTGGGGAGCATGGCTTTCTGGGGGACCCTGTGTGGGTGCAGACACATTGTGTGAGATGACAGGAAACACATGCTGGACTGAGCCCCTGGCCCCGGCACAGGCTCCTGACACCCTTGTCACTCCCTGGGGGGCAGGCGGGCCTGTAGCTGATGAGGGGGCTCTGGGTGTGCTCCCTTTGATTAACACCCAATGCAGACAGTCATCACCTCTGGGCCAGGGGTTTTGGTCTCCCTTCCTCGTCCTCTGAGACACTGTGGGTAACGGTAGCTGCTCCCTCTGCCAACAGGTGTAAAGCAGTAATAGTCAGCCTCATCCTCAGGCTGCAGCCCCGAGATGGTCAGGAGCCCCGCATTGGCCGAGGCATCTTTGGATCCAGAGAAGCGGCTGGGGACCCCGGAGCCCTGGTGCTTAATGGAGTCTGTGTGGTAGTTCAGGAGATACCGGGGAGGGCTCCCTGGCTTCTGCTGGTACCAGTATATCCTGTAGCTGCCAACACTGAAGCCACTGCTCAGGGTGCAGGTGAGTCTGGCTTGGGCTCCCGGAGATGCAGAGAGGGAGGGCGGCTGGGTCAGCACAGGCTGGGAGAGGGACCCTGCAGACACAGACACTTGTCAGTGAGGGGCAGGGACCAGGGGCAGGTTCCCAGGAGACCGAGCAGGAAGGGAAGGAGCCTGGGCCCAGGCCTGGCCCTACCTGTGCAGTGAGAGAGGAGCGCCAGGAGCAGAGGAGTCCAGGCCATGGTGCTCACAGCCCTGAGCCCACAGTGGGGCTGGGCTGCCCAGGCCTCCTTTTCTCCCCTGCCCTCTGCCAGAGGAGGGGCTGCCATGCAAATGGGGGTCCCTCCAGGCACTGCCCAGCCCCTCCCTGGGCCCTGGGGCTGCTGCTCAGCTCACACCACAGACTGAGGGGCAGGGAGGTGGGCTCAGTCCTTGGGGGGCCCTGGGAGGAAGCACCTGCTGAGACACCACATCACTGAGCACAGGGCCCAGCCTCAGGCTCCTATTAGTTAAGGTCCTTAATGTGTAGCTGCCTTAGACCACAGGGCGGTCCCACAGCGCCCCCTGCTGGTGGCAGCACACACCTGCCCTTGGCCCAAAGCTCTGAGAGCCCAGCTGGACCTGCAGCTCAGAGGGGACTGTCTGTGGCCACACACCCTGCCCGGGTCCCAGGTGCTGTGCCCTGATGCCTGGAGCGCTCCCTGCAGCCTCCCTCCCAGGAGGAGGCCCGCCTGTGGGAGGCGCCATCAGGTCCACCAAGGACACATGGATGTGGTTTCCCCTCCAGTGAAGATGGTGCACAAGTGAGAGCACAGGGACCCTCCTGTCCCACGTCACAGCCCAGGGACCCCTCCCTCTGGTGACCGGGACTCAGAGGGCTGCTCAGGGCGTTTCCCGGGAACACACTCAGGACCAAGGTCCAAGGAGGACATCTCTCCAGACCTTCCACGCCATGAGGTGCACGTGCAGGCTCACAGAGATCTGATGGGACGGACCCATAAGCATCATGGCGTTTGCAGGCCTCCTGTGGGCCAGTGGGAGGAGCCACAGCTCATTCATGCAGGAATTGACTTTTGTCACGTGTGTGGTGATCTGCATAGCTGTGTCCTGTGTTTCTTGTTGGGATTTTCTCAGGTGCTGACATTGGTTTATATTTTACTTAAAACTTTACCTCCTGTGCTTTCTGACTCGTTGTCCTATTTTAGTGAAAAGTGGGAGAATTTGCTTTGTGTAGACACCCTTTCTGTCTGGGCAGGTGAACTCAAAAACTATTACATCCTCACTGAATGGAAACCACAGCGGGAACTTGTCACTTTTCTCTAAATCCTCATGAAGGATGAACTATGACCTAAGACCTGAGGATGCCAAGGGTGAGAGGAGGGGAGGGAGGCAGCAGCAGAGGAGGGAGGAGGGCAGGGAGGGGGGACTGAGAGTCTGTGCTGGTTGGTACCGAGCTTCAGTGGTTTGTTCAGAGAAGGAGGAGGCTGTGTCCATGACCAGGGGGAACACGAACATGTCACATGTGACGGGTCAGGAGTCACACAGGGTCACACACGTGACAGGAATGTGTGGGGAGCATGGCTGTCTGGGGGACCATGTGTGGCTGCAGACACAGGGTGTGAGATGACAGGAAACACTTGATGTTCTCAGCCCCTCACTCCGGCACAGGCTCCTGAGACCCTTGTCACTCCGGGTAACAGGCAGGCCTGTGGATGATGAGGGGGCCCTGGGTGGACATCATTTGATTGACAGCCAAGGGCAGACAGTCATCACCTCTGGGCCAGGGGTTTTGGTCTCACTTCCTCGTCCTCTGAGACACTGTGGGAAACCGAAGCTGCTGCCACTGCCATGAGCTGTAGCACAGTAATAGTCAGCCTCGTCCTCAGGCTGCAGCCCCGAGATGGTCAGGAGCCCTGCGTTGGCCGAGGCGTCTTTGGATCCAGAGAAGCGACTGGGGACCCCGGAACCCTGGTGCTTACTGGAGTCAGAATAGTAGTACAGGAGATACCGGGGAGGGCTCCCTGGCTTCTGCTGGAACCAGTTTATCCAGTAATCACCAACACTGAAGCCACTGTTCAGGGTGCAGGTGAGTGTGACTGTGGCTCCCAGAGAGGCAGAGAGGGAGGGCGGCTGGGTCAGCACAGGCTGGGAGAGGGACCCTGCAGACACAGACACTTGTCAGTGAGGGGCAGGGACCAGGGGCAGGTTCCCAGGAGACCGAGCAGGAAGGGAAGGAGCCTGGGCCCAGGCCTGGCCCTACCTGTGCAGTGAGAGAGGAGCGCCAGGAGCAGAGGAGTCCAGGCCATGGTGCTCACAGCCCTGAGCCCACAGTGGGGCTGGGCTGCCCAGGCCTCCTTTTCTCCCCTGCCCTCTGCCAGAGGAGGGGCTGCCATGCAAATGGGGGTCCCTCCAGGGACTGCCCAGCCCCTCCCTGGGCCCTGGGGCTGCAGCTCAGCTCACACCCCAGACTGTGGGGCATGGAGATGGGCTCAGCCCTTGGGGGGCCCTGGGAGGAAGCACCTGCTGAGACACCACATCACTGAGCACAGGGCCCAGCCTCAGGCCTAGGCTGCTATGAGTTAAGGTCCTTAATGTGCAGCTGCATTGGGACCACAGGGCGATCACACAGCGCCCCCTTCTGGTGGCAGCACACACCTGCCCTTGGCCCAAAGCCCTGAGAGCCCAGCTGGACTTGTAGCTTAGAGGGGACTGTCTGTGGCCACACACCCTGCCCGGGTCCCAGGTCCTGTGCCTGATGCCTGGAGCGATCCCTGCAGCCTCCCTCCCAGGAGGAGTCCCGCCTGTGGGAGGCGCCTTCAGGTCCACCAAGTACAGATGGATGTGGTTTCCCCTCCAGTGAAGATGGTGCACCAGTGAGAGCACAGGGACCCTCCTGTCCCACGTCACAGCCCAGGGACCCCTCCCTCTGGTGACCGGGACTCAGAGGGCTGCTCAGGGCGTTTCCCGGGAACACACTCAGGACCAAGGTCCAAGGAGGACGTCTCTCCAGACCTTCCACGCCTTGTGGTGCGCGTTCAGGATCACAGAGATCTGATGGGACGGACCCATAAGCATCATGGCGTTTGCAGGCCTCCCGTGGGCCAGTGGGAGGAGCCACAACTCATTCATGCAGGAATTGACTTTTATCACGTGTGTGGTGATCTTCATAGCTGTGTCATTGTGTTGTTGGGATAGTCTCAGGTGTGCTATAATTTTGTTGTTGTTGTTGTTTATAGATATAAAAAGGTAATATGCTAATTAGCCGGACACCTTAACAGACAAGTACAGTAACAAGGAGGCTTCATGGGCTGTGAGGTGAAGAGTGGACTCAGACTGGGGCCTGGTAATGCTCCAGCCACGGCGCACCAGCTGTCCCCCCTCTGCCCATGAGCTCAAGAGGAAACACCTGTTTTCACCGCTCATTGGCTCAGCTCCCGGTACTCCTCTCACAGGGCTCTTGGTAACTTGGGTGGGAAGAATCCAAGAAGGTGATCTAAGCTTAATCCCCTTCACTCCTGGAGGAACAAACAAAGGACAGCTGCTGCTGGAGGGGCCAAGAAATGTCACATCCTGCCCTAGCCGGTTTGGCTCAATGGATAGAGCCTCAGCCTGCCGACCACAGGACCTGGTTTGATTCTGATCAAGGGCATGTACCTACGTTGCAGGCTCCTCCGTGGCCGGGGCCCCAGGTCAGGGCTCCTGCAGGAGGCACCAATCGAACTGCCTCTCTGACATTGATGTTTCCCTCTGTCTTTCCCTCTCTCTTCCATGCTCTCTGAAAACCAATGGAAACGTATCCGCAGATAAGGATAATTAAAAACAATAAAGAACGGGCATATCCTATAAAAGAGAATTGTTGAAAAGGCCAGAAGAAAGTGGTCTTTTCACCACGGTGAAGGGACTGGAGTCCGTGTGAATGGAAACACCTCGGCAGCTGTGGCCGCTGCAGTGAGGTGATGGGGGTGACGCCTACCGACCGGTCACCACACACAGCGGGGGACGAGCCTGGGCCGGGGCTCATTGCCCACAGGAAGCAGGGCAAACGGTCAGGAGGTCATCCCTGAGAGCTCCTGGATTGGAGAGGGTGCAGGCTAGGCTCAGGGGAACACCCCTCCCCATGCAGAATTTCATGCACCAGGCCTCTAGGATTTTAAATAAACTTTACTGCCTGTACATTCTGACTCATTATCCTATTTTGTGACAAATGTGAGATTGTGCTGTGTGTGCACACTCCGGGAACGTCTGGGCATTGAACGCAGAAACCCTCACATCCTCACTGAATGAAAACCACAGAAGGAACTTGTCACTGTTCCCAGAAGCCCTCCTGTGGAGATGGGGCTAAGAGCTGAGGAGCCTGAGGGAGAGAGGAGGGGAGGGAGGCAGCAGCAGAGGAGGTAGGAGGGCAGAGAGGGGTGACTGAGAGTCTGTGCTGGTGGGGACCCACCTTCAGTGGTTTGTTCAGAGAAGAAGGCTGTGTCCATGACCAGGGGGAACACGAACGTACATGTGACAGGTCAGGAGTCACTCAGGGTCAACACGTGACAAGAATGTGTGGGGAGCATGGCTGTCTGGGGGACCCTGTGTGGGTGCAGACACAGGGTGTGAGATGACAGGAAACACACGCTGGTCTCGGCCCCTGGCCCCGGCACAGGCTCCTGAGACCCTTGTCACTCCCTGGGGGGCGGGCGGGCCTGTGGCTGTTGAGGGGGCGCTGGGCGGGCTCCTGGGTGAGGACGGGCCACGGGAGAGGCCAGGAGGATGAGAAGCTGGGGAGCCCCTCACCTGCGCCCCATTCCATTAAAGGGAGAGGGCTCAGGTGCAGTTAGCAAATTCATAGAATGCAGGAAGGGAATTATGGGAACCATAAATGATATCAATGTATTTGTGTGAATCCTGGGACCTCCTGCCTGTGATTGGCACCTGACCTGCGGGCATCAGGGGGACTGGCCCTTTAACTGTGGGTCTGACACCCTCTCTGGGCAGAGGGGTGAGCACTGAGTGCTGTTGGGGGGCATCAGCTGGGGTCAGAGAACTGCTGTCGGGGAGCCACTCCCCACACATTGGGGCCCAGAAGGGCCCGGAGGGGAGAGCGGGGGGAGCAGCAGAGCACACACAGGAGGGAGGAGCTGAGACTGACCAGGAATGTTCCTTCTTAGAATCCCCGACACGGGGTGGAGGGCGGGGCTCCCTGACCTCCCGGTGCTCCTGGGAGGCCTGTGCTGCTGCTCCACCGAGTGTGACCTCCCTCCTCCCGGGACACAGGTCCCTGCAGAGGAGCCACCGACAGAGGCCCCAGACGCTCCTCGCTGAAGGAGGCTCAGAGCCACCGCCTCGGGGCCAGGGGTTTTTGTCTCACTTCCTCGTTCTCTGAGACACTGTGGGTAATAGTAGCTGCTCGAACCGCCAATATCTACATTGCAGTAATAGTCAGCCTCGTCCTCAGGCTGCAGCCCCGAGATGGTCAGGAGCCCCGCATTGGCCGAGGCGTCTTTGGATCCAGAGAAGCGGCTGGGGACCCCGGAGCCCTGGTGCTTATCTGAGTCTGATTTATATGCCAGGAGATACCGGGGAGGGCTCCCTGGCTTCTGCTGGTACCAGCGAATATGGTAACCGCCAACATTGAAGCCACTACTCAGGGTGCAGGTAATTGTGATTGTGGATCCCAGAGAGGCAGAGAGGGAGGGCGGCTGGGTCAGCACAAGCTGCTGGGAGAGGGACCCTGCAGACACAGACACTTGTCAGTGAGGGGCAGGGACCAGGGGCAGGTGCCCAGGAGACCGAGCAGGAAGGGAAGGAGCCTGGGCCCAGGCCTGGCCCTACCTGTGCAGTGAGAGAGGAGCGCCAGAAGCAGAGGAGTCCAGGCCATGGTGCTCACAGCCCTGATCCCACAGTGGGGCTGGGCTGCCCAGGCCTCCTTTTCTCCCCCGCCCTCTGCCAGAGGAGGGGCTGCCATGCAAATGGGGGTCCCTCCAGGGACTGCCCAGCCCTTCTCTTGGCCCTGGGGCTGCAGCTCAGGTCACACCCCAGACTGAGGGGCATGGAGGTGGGCTCAGCCCTTGGAGTGCCCTGGGAGGAAGCACCTGCTGAGACCACACAGAGTTCCCCACTCAGCTGACTTCTTCTCGCCACTGAAGTCACAGCTGCTGAATCCCCATCAGTGAGCTTAGGGCCCAGTGCCAGGCCCAGTCTCTTGTGAGTGAATGGTCCTCATGAGCAGCTGATGGGCAGCCCACAGCGCCTCCTGCTGGTCACAGGACAAACAGCTCCTCCTGGTCCGAAGCCTGTGAGCCCTGCTGGAGCCTTCAGCTCCCAGGTCATTATCTCTGTTCACACAGCCCTGGTTTGATTCCCAGGTGCTTGGATTTTAATTCATTGTCCATGTGTACTTCTTCTTATCCCTGAACTCCATTTCCTAATAGTATCTTCTGAGTGTTTATGTCTTTATTTGTGAATAGTGTCTTGTGTTATTGGCCCGTTTTTGTATCAGGAGTGGTAAGCACCAGCTCTTGATCAATAAATTTAGGAAGAAAAAAAATTAATTTAGAAAGAAACTATATTGTAATGAAGTTCATTGTTCCCATCCACAATTTAGGAGTACCTGCTTATTTATTGGAGCTTCCTTTCATTTCCCAGACAACCTCTTATAGCTTTCCATGTTCCACACTTTAAGTTTCTCTCAGACACACCCTTTAGCCTTTCTCAGTTGCAGGAGTATAAGTGGCGTTGCTTTGCTTTTCAAACACTGCCATCACCTCCTTCTGGATGGTTCTCTGGCTGTGCAGGAGCTGTTTAGTTTGCTATCCTCCCAGTCATATATTTTTCCTTCGCTTCCCCTACCTTGGGGTCAAATTCATAAGACCTTCCTTAAGACGGCAACCCACGAGCTGAGCATCTATGCTGTGTCCGTGTAACTTATGGCTCCGGGGCTGTATTTTGGGTGTTTCTGAGATCGTTTTTGAACATGAGGACAGGCAGAATCTGGTGCCATTCTTGGGCGTGTGCTTTCCCATTGTCCCAGCACCGCTGATGGAAGACACTTTCTTTTCTCCGTGGAACGTGCTTTGCTCCTTTGCCAACCAGCGTTTGCCCATGAGCATGTGGGTTTATTACTCTGGGCTCTCGGTTCTGTTCCATTGGTTGGTGTATCTGTTACTTTCCTTTTATTTTTTTGAAATACTTTGCTGTTTTGATTATCGTTGCTCTGTAGTGTCATTTGAAGTCAGTGTGTTTTGTAAAAGATTCCTTGGGCTTTGTTTTTGTGATTGTTTGTTTTTGTTTTTGTTTTTGTTTTCGTTTTTGTTTTGCAATCCCGATTGCATTGGCTATTTGGGGTCCTGTGATGGGAGGCGGCTGAGACCAGCCTGGTCTGGGACTCCCTAAGGTCCACCAGGGGCATCTGGCAGAGGAGCCCAGAGGAGGAACAGGTGGCTGGGTTTCCTGCTGAGAGAGTGCCCAGCAGACTCTCTCCAGAGCTGTCTTGAAGCGCCCTCTGCTGCCCCAGGCGGGGATTCCTCCAGGTGAGAGAGGAGAGCCAGGAGTCAAGAGGGCAATCAGCCTTCCTCACACCCTGTGCACAGTGACCCACCCCAACCCCAGCAGGGGCACCAATCACCGCCTCAGCTCCATGCTGCAGCCTCCTGGCCAGGCCTTAGCCCATCCCTCAAAGAGCTACTCCGTCAGCATGCAAACTCCCCAGCAGCCACTGTCTCTGTGTACAGAACTATGGGACGAGCCCTGAGGACCTGCCCGGAGCGAGAATTTGTCCCCAACTGGCCTGGAAGAAGGAGACTGGATGGAGCGAGACCATTTCCAGGTTAAAGGGGGCATGTGGGCCTGGGCTCACCTGTGCTGAGTTCTTTGGGTCTCACGCCATCTGGAATGTGAGCAGGGAGAGTGCAGGACCTGGTCATGTTTTTCTTCATCTTTCAATCCCGTGCGTGATTGAAAAACTCCCTCAGGGAGGGAATCAATGAAGGGGGGTCTCTTATACTGTCAGGTGCTGTGTGTAAAGGTCACACACGAACTGCACACCTGGTCTGGCCACAAGCTGTGCTCCACGCTCAGGGTTGAGGAGATTCCATGTAGTTGGGTCCGGGTTGTCTGACCTCGCGTGAGTTGGATGCGGTTTTTTGTCTGACAGATGGAAGGGCAGCAGCACAGAGATGCCAGCTCTCATGCCCTTGGTCCAGCTCAATGGCACGAACAGGAGTCAAAGCCAAAGGCCTCCTAGTGGCTGAGCACATTTCCTCTGAGCTTGGTGGTTCTCAGACTCGGTGGCTCCCCTGCCCCGGGGGGTCCTGGGAAATGTGTGGGGGGTGCTTATTGGCCATGACTTAGCGAAGAGGGGCCACTGGCTCGTGAGGGCTGGAGTCCGAAGGATGCTTCCAGACGCCCAACATGCACAGGACGGCTTCTGCTGCAAGGGTGTGGGCTCAGCGACCCTGTTCAGAACTAACTCGCCTCCGGGAAGTGAGGAGACTGTCCATGAAGATATGGGTGGAAATGTTCATGTTTTGGACATACCATCTAATAAAAGAGTAATGTGCAAATTGACCGTCACTCCAACACACAAGATGGCTGCCTCCATCTGGACACAAAATGGCCGCCACAAGATGGCCAGCGGGGGAGGGCAGTTGGGAGGAATGAGGCCACCAGGGGAGGGCAGTTGGGAGTGATCAGGCTTGCAAGGGAGGGCAGTTGGGGGTGATCAAGCCTGCAGGGTAGGGCAGTTAGGGGTGACCAGGCAAGCAGAGGTGGGAAGTTCGGAGCGACCAGGCCTTCAGACAAGGGCAGTTGGGGGGGTCCCAGGTTTGTAGGGGAGGGCAGTTAGGCAACAATCAGGGTGGTTAAGGGGTGATCAGGCTGGCAGGCACATCCTACAGAAACTGGGCCTAAAGGGCCAGTTGGACATCCTTCGAGAGGTCCCAGATTGGAGAGGGTGCAGGCTGGGCTGAGGCACACACACCTCTTGAATGAATTTCATACACCAGGATTCTAGTAGAATATAGAGCTAAGGAAGATTCTCTATGGCACTGAAGCAGAGGCAGAAAAGTGCCCTCTCCTGGTGGGTGGTAGGAGTGCAGCCCAGGACAGCGAGGCTCTGGGGAGTTTTTGTCTCACTTCCCCATGGGCCTGAATCACTGTGCTTATAGCTACCATCATAGGACTGACAGTAGTAGTCGGCCTCGTCCTCGGGCTGCAGCCCCGAGATGGTCAGGTGGGCGGCATTGGAGGAGCTGTCGATGGAGCCAGAGAACCGGCCTGGGACCCCCGAGGGTCTTTGGTCATCTCTGTAGATCACGGTTGTGGGGGCACTGCCCGGGCGCTGCTGGTACCAGGACACATAGTTGTTTCCAATGCTGCCGCTGCTGCGGGTGCAGGAGATGACGGCCTTCTGTCCCGGAGACCCCGACACGGAGGGGGGCTGAGTCAGCACAAACTGGGCCCAGGACCCTGCAAGGAGGGGGGACACAGGCATCAGAGGGGCCAGCACAGACCCGGGCCCAGGGAGGGAGGCCAGGGCATGCTCCCAGGGGACACACCTGTGCAGTGAGCCAGGAGGGCGAGGAGAAGGGGAGCCGGCTCCATGGTGGACACGCCCCACACTCTGCTTCCTGAGCCCACAGCCAGGCCAGAGCCCGCACCTTCTTATAGGCCTGACCCCGAGGGGAGGGCCCCCATGCAAATCCTCCCCACAGCCCTCTGTCGCAGCTGCTCAGGCTCCTCCTTCACACGTGGCCTTGGTTCCACCAGAGAAGAGCCTGGAGATGGGACCTCATTGCACAGAAGACCTGCCTGAGGCTGGGGGAGGGGCGGGGAGGGGCACAGCTGAGCAACAGGGAGCAGCCAGCAGGGGCTTCCACCACAGCGCCACCTGGGGGACACAGGGCGCATGTCAGTCAGCCCTTGGGGAGGGAAAGGGGAGCCTGAGGAGGAGTGGGGTGCAGGCCAGGCACCCACCAGGGGCCAAGGGTGGCCTGGGGCAGCCCGGCCCCCCACCCCCTGGCAGCCGAGCCCACTAACGGGCTGGACACGGAGGTCTGGGCCCACTTCCTCTTAGCCGCACCTCTCCCTGCGCAGGGATCCGGGGCCTGGGCTCCGTCTGTGGGGGAGGGGGCACACAGCTGTCCCCTGTCCCCTGGTAGCCGCCTGGGAGGGGCGGCGGCTGGGCCAGCACCTGTGGGAAGGCGGGAGCAGGCGCTTGTGCTCAGGAGGCTCTGGGCCAGCACCTCCCTCTATGAGCACAGAGCCCAGGCCCCGCTCGGCGGTGCCCTCACCGTCCCCACAGGGGGCCTCCCTCAGCCCTGCATGGCCCCCGGCTCCTCCTCCCCGGCCCCGGCCCGGCTCTGGCCTTCTCCATGGCTCTGACGTTGTCCTCTGACCGGGCCGCGGGCTGATACAGGGACTGACACCCGGTGTGGCCGGTGCTGGGCCACCGCCAATGGGACCCAGACCGGAGTGTGGGTGTGTGTGGATGCTCCCCGAGGACATTCTCCCACGGGTTGTTAGGGAGCGAGGAAGGGAGAGCAAGAGACAGAGAGAAACTTCGATGGGAGAGAAATGTACCAACTGGCTGCCTCCTGCACTTGGCCCGACCAGGACCCGACTCAAGGAGGGGCCTGCAATGGAGGTGCATGCCCATGACCTGAATCGAACCCAGGATGCTTCAATCTGCAGGGTCTGTCCACTGAGCCCACCGGCTAGGGACTAATGTGACTAATATTAATACATTTAATGTGGTTTGAACACTGACACCCCAAAGGGGAATAATTCAATCCATGTAGAAGAAGCAAATGGATCGATGCTGAGAACTGAGCTGTGGCCTGATAATCCCTCCATTTAGGAGGAACAGGGAGTGAAAAGAGCAGGTTATTCAAGGCAACGTTACCTCTGCTTTCTTTTCTTTTTTATAATTTTCTTTTTTCTTTATTTTTTTACAGAGAGGAAGAGAAACGGATAGAGAATAAGAAACATTGATGAGAGAGAATCATTGATCAACTGCCTCTTGCACATCCCCTACTGGGGATGTGCCCGCAACCAAGGCGCATGCCTTTGACCGAAATCGAACCTGGGACCGTTCAGTCCGCAGGCCGACATTCTATCCACTGAGCCAAACCGGCTACAGCTCTATTCTTTGTTTTCCTTACGTTAAATATTTCTTAATTTGTCAATAACCACAGGAACTTGTCACTGTTCCCTGAAGCCCTCCCGTGGGGACGGAGCTAAGAGCTGAGGAGCCCGAGGGAGAGAGGAGGGGAGGGAGGCAGCAGCAGAGGAGGGAGGAGGGCTGGGAGGGGCGACTGAGAGTCCGTGCTGGTTGGGACCCACCTTCTGTGGTTTGTTCAGAGAAGGAGGAGGCTGTGTCCATGACCAGGGGGAACACGAACATGTCACATGTGACGGGTCAGGAGTCACACAGGGTCACACATGTGACAGGAATGTGTGGGGAACATGGCTGTCTGGGGGACCCTGTGTGGGTGCAGACACTGTGTGAGGTGACAGGAAACACACGCTGGTCTCGGCCCCTGGCTCTGGCACAGGCTCCTGAGACCCTTGTCACTCCCTGGGGGGCGGGTGGACCTGTGGCTGATGAGGGGGTGCTGGGTGGGCTCCCTTTGATTGACACCGAAGGGCAGACAGTCATCACCTCTGGCCTTAGAGGTTTTGGTCTCACTTCCTCCTCCTCTGAGACACTGTGGGTAACGGTAGCTGCTACCCCTGCCATGAGCTGTAGCGCAGTAATAGTCAGCCTCATCCTCAGGCTGCAGCCCAGAGATGGTCAGGATCCCCGCATTGGCTGAGGCGTCTTTGGATCCAGAGAAGCGGCTGGGGACCCCGGAGCCCTGGCCCTTATCTGACTCTGTGTGGTAGTTCAGGAGATACCGGGGAGGGCTCCCTGGCTTCTGCTGGTACCAGGTTATCCTGTAGCTGCCAACATTGTAGCCGCTGCTCAGGGTGCAGGTGAGTCTGACTGTTTCTCCCAGAGAAGCAGAGAGGGACGGCGGCTGGGTGAGCACAGGCTGGGAGAGGGACCCTGCAGACACAGACACTTGTCAGTGAGGGGCAGGGACCAGGGACAGGTTCCCAGGAGACCGAGCAGGAAGGGAAGGAGCCTGGGCCCAGGCCTGGCCCTACCTGTGCAGTGAGAGAGGAGCGCCAGGAGCAGAGGAGTCCAGGTCATGGTGCTCACAGCCATTCTGGGTCCCCTGAGCTGGGCCTGGGCCCCCACAGGCATCTCTTATGGGCTCCAGTGACCTCAGGGGGCGGGGGCTGCTCCGGGAAATCTGTTTCGGGTCCTTGAGATCTTTGCTGCACCTGACTGGCCAGCTGAGGGCTGCAGCTAAGCTCTGTAGACAGAGGGGGCTGATGGGTGTGGCTCAGAGTTGGCCCCCGGGGAGGGTCTAGGAAGGAAGCCGCTGTGGCACCTTCCACAGACCTGTGAGGAGGAGACTCTGTCCAACCCACAGAGTTCACAGCCGGCAAACACAGGCCCCGGGGCCCCCGCCGGGGAACAGCTGGGTGATTTCACAGCAGCGCCTGACCTCTGTGCCCACGCTGGGTGAGAGCCACAGCCCCGCCTGCTGGCCACGGGCAGAACTTCAGCTTCTCGGTGGGGATAATGGCCATGGCGTTGGCCTGAGAGGCTGGTCATTGTCATTCCAGACACTTCTGTGGCCGGGACCAGTGTGGCTCAGTGGATAGAGCGTCGGCCTGCGGACTGAAAGGTCCCGGGTTCGATTCCGGGCAGGGGCATGTACCTTGGTTGCGGGCACATCCCTGGTGCAGGGTGTGCAAGAGGCAGCTGATAGATGATTCTCTCTCATCGATGTTTCTGACTCTCTATCCCTCTCTCTTCCTCTCTGTGAAAAATCAATAAAATATATTTTAAAAAAAAAAGACACTTCTGTGGACCATGTCCTTTACTGCCCCGGGGTCACTGACACTGACATACATCCTTTTCCACGGAGGTGTTTCTAGATGTCTAGGCGAAAGGGAGGCGGGAATAATGACCAGCATGCAGTGCGGCCACGGCAGCGGTGAGGCGGGCGTGCAGAGGGCCCTGGGAACAGAGACCTGAGCAGCTCAGGCCACAGGCAGGAGGGGACGGAGACCTGTATGGAGACGGGTGGTCCTGCCGGTGGACAAATCAAGAAAAACAAGGCGGTGGAGCGAGGTGGTCAGATAGAGAGAGACATCAAATCCTGGAGAGCAAGCACGCCACACTCCCGGCCCGCGGGCCACATGCCTGGTTTACCTGCCCCGTGTTCGCCTCTGAGTTCAACACGTTTGGTGTAGGGTCTTGGGAACTGGCAAAACTCCCGGCAGGGTCAGAAAAGTGCCGGGAACCTGCCGGGAATTGGCGCGTGAGAGTTCACTGGAGCCCAACGGGTGACGATTTCGGGAGGCGAGGTGGCAAGTGCTTCCCAGAGCACACAGTGCTGCCGTTCCCCTTACGCGTTTGAGATGAAAGAGGGACGGAAGGGAGATCGCACAAAGCGGGAGAGAGCGAGTGTGGGCAGGGGGTTACCAGACAGGTGAGGTTACCCCTCTCTCCAGGGCGGAAGAAAGATGGGTCTGAAAAGAGGCATCTTACAAGTGTCTCCACCTCGAGGCCCAGAAACAACGGACAATGAAGAGGACTTGCTTAAGGCAAAGATAATTCATATATATAGTATTGATTTTTACGGAGAGAAAGGGAGAGGGATAGAGAGTTAGAAACATCGATGAGAGAGAAACATCCATCAGCTGCCTCTTGCACACCCCCCACCGTGGATGTGCCTGCGACCAAGGTACATGCCCTTGACTGGAATCAAACCCGGGACCCTTTAATCTGCAGGCCAACGCTCTATCCACTGAGCCAAACTGGTCAGGGAAGGAAGCCAATTTAGATTTCTTCTTCCAGGACAATATGGGCTTTGGGACCCATGGATTGTATAATTAACTTTATTTTCTTATTTTTTTAAAATATTTTTTTGTATTGATTTCAGAGAGGAAGGGAGAGAAAGAAGGTGAGAGAGAGAGACCTAGAAACATCCATGATGAGAGAGAATCAGGGATCGGCTGCCTCCTGCACGCCCCCTGCTGGGGATCGAGCCCACACCCTGGGCATGTGCCAGGACCCGGAATGGAACCGTGACCTCCTGGTTCATAGGTGGATGCTCAGGCCCCGGGCAGTTTCACTTTCAAAGGTTGTAATTCCTTGGTCAGGAATCTTATCCGATCAGTAAGGGACTCTTACCTCCTGTCCCTCCTGATTCTTTTCTGGCCCTTTCACCTCTGTCCTCCTCCCCCTCCTTGTCCCCCGTCATCGCTCCCTCATCCTCACCCCACCTGGTCCCATCTTCTTGGGGACCCTGCCTTTCCTCGCACCTCCAGCCCTCGCCCTCATCCCCGCACTCCATCCGACCAGCACGGCCGGCCGGAGGGCCGGGGGCCGAGGGAAGGTGTAAAGGTCCCGTGCCCAGGAGCCGGTGCTGATAGCGCGCCCCACCTGCTCCAGGCTGATCATTAACCCAGAGTCATATAAGGAGAGGGCCCTCCCGGCCATGGGGACGCACCGCCCGCAGCCATGGCCAGCACCGTGAGCCCCAGCCCCCCGACCGGGACCCCGGGTCCCCCTGAGATGTCGGAGCGCATCCGGAACGCGGCCGACATCTCCGTCATCGTCATCTACTTCGTGGTGGTGATGGCCGTGGGGCTGTGGGTACGTAGGAGCCCAGTGGGGGGAGGGGGGGTTTGGGGTGGGCGCATGGCCTGGGATCAAACATCTGAGGGACGGAAAAGTGACGACGCTGAGAGGACATTCAGAGCTGTCCCAGATGTCACTGTCCGCCTCTCAGAATCATTTTCTTTCTTTCTTTAAAAATATTTTTTATTGATTTCAGAGAGGCAGGGAGAGGGAGAGATAGAAACAGCCATGAGGAGAGAGGATCATTGGTTGGCTGCGTCCTGCATGCCCCCCACTGGGGATTGAGCCCGCAACCCAAGCACATGCCCTTGGCTGGACTTGAAACCTGGGACCCTTCAGTCTGCAGGCCAAGGCTTTATCCACAGAGCCACACCAGCCAGGGCAGAACCATTTTTCTTGGATGCGACATCGATAATGCGGACACTGGCTTACTTTCTTTTACTAACCCCATCCTGTGCACGGAGCCAGCCCTGGGGGCTCCAGGCTTATCTGCTCAGCATCTCCAGCACAAGCAGATTGAAGAAGGGTGTAAGGGTGTTGGTTTTTGGTGTGTTTTGTAATATATATAATTTTTTTAAAATCAATTTCAGAGAGGAAGGAAGAGGGAAAGAAAGAAAAACATCCATGATGATAGAGAATCATGGATCAGCTGCCTCCTGCACGCCCCCTACTGGGGTGGAGCCCACAACCCGGGCCTGTGCCCTGACCGGCCGTGGAACCGTGACCTCCTGGTTCCTAGGTCGATGCTCAACCACTGAGCCACACTGTGGGGGGCGACCTTGTTTTTCTTATCTCCCTTCTCTTTTTCCCTTTGTTATTTTCTCACATTCTGCCGTGGTTGAGTTGGACGCTTAATTCGCTGGTGCTCCTTCTCTCTTTTGGTAACGGCTGGGAGGCCACAGGTTTCCTCCCACAGCCCAGCTTCAGAGGCCCCCCCCTCACAGCAGTCCCTGCTTTGTATTGTGGGCGGAGTTACAGATACACCCCCCCCCCATTGTCTTCCCTCCGCGCAGGCCATGCTGAGGACCAACCGGGGCACCGTGGGGGGCTTCTTCCTGGCTGGCCGCGACATGGTCTGGTGGCCGGTGAGTGGGCAGAGCTCCCGGGAGATGAAGTGTGTGTGAGTGTGTGTGTGTGAGAGTGTGTGTGTGTGTGTGAGTGAGTGTGTGTGTGTGTGTGTGTGTGTGAGTGTGTGTGTGAGTGTGTGTGTGTGTGTGTGTGTGTGTGTGTGTGTGTAAGAGAGAGAGGGGAAGAGGTTGAAAGAGGGAGGGAGGAGGAGGAGGGGGAGAGAGAGGAAGAGGAGGAGGGAGAGAGAAACATCAATGATGCAAGAGAATCAGCTGCCTCCTGCACGCCCCCTACTGGAGATCGAGCCCCCCTACCCCCCCGGGCACGTGTCCTGACGGACGGAAATGGAACTGGGACCTCCTGGTTCATGGGTTGACACACTGAACCACTGAGCCGCGCCCGCTGGGCTAGATTTATGGTTACCCATTCACACAGGAAGAAATCCCTTTGGCTCACCGGCCATAGGGAAGCCGGGCTCGACCCCGGGCTGTAGCTGGCTCCTGGCCTGGGGTGCGGAAGCCTCGCCGTTCCCCAGGGCAGGGGGCCTGCTTGGCGCCGGTGAGCTCTACCCCTCTGACCACGTCTGTGCCCTCGGCTCCAGATGGGCGCCTCCCTCTTCGCCAGCAACATCGGCAGCGGCCACTTCGTGGGGCTGGCAGGCACCGGGGCGGCCTCGGGCATCGCCACTGCCGTCTTTGAGTGGAACGTGAGTGAGCCCGCGAAGGGGACGCGAGGGGCGGGCCGGCCGCCTTGTCTCCTCTGACCCCGAGGCCGTGGGGGGACAGGGCCCCCATCCCACCCCCAGGCCAGGCCCCTCTGACCCACCTCTCCCTGCAGGCCCTGCTGCTGCTGCTGGTGCTCGGCTGGTTCTTCGTCCCCATCTACATCAAGGCGGGCGTGAGTACCGGGGCCTGGGCACGCTGGCTGGCACCCGTTTACCTGCTCCTTCTCCCTGCTCAGCGGGAGGCCTGGGGGGGACCCTTTGTCTCCGGTCCCTGGGCTTCCAACGGCCCCAGTCCACTGGTGCAGCCAGGCTGCTCTGGCCTTCCCGCCCCGAGCACTCCCTTTGCCCACGTCCTCGCCAGCTCAGGCCTTTTCCTTCCCCCGGATCCGGGCTGTTCTGACCCCAGTAAAGCGGTTCCTCCTTGCCATGAGGGGCGGGATGTGCCGCAGCTGCGGTGGCTTCTCTTCTGCCTGCCTCTGGGCCTTTCAGAGAGGAAGGGAGAGGGAGAGGGAGAGAGAGAAACATCCATGACGAGAGAGAATCACAGACCGGCTGCCTCCTGCACATCCCCCACTGGGGATGGAGCCCGCCGCCCGGGCCTGTGCCCTGACCGGGAATCGAACCCTGACCTCCTGGTTCCTGGGTCGACGCACAACGGCTGAGCTGCCCCAGCCAGGCTGTGAGGAACGTGTTAGCTGGACTGCCCCAGTTTGGGTGAAAACGGTAGAAATTATCTACTGAGCGTTGGCTGTGCGTTAGGCGGTGGCGTGGGTCCGGGGCAGACCCCACCTTCCAGAGGAGGAGCGAGCCAGAGAGAGGCCGCTCGCTAAGCGTCACATCGCTAGTCAGCGTCCGCTCCCAGCGCCCGTGTCCACCGGCCTAGCTGCTTTCCCAGAAACAAGCCTCCGTCCCCTCGGTGCCCCAGGCGCCTGCCCCGCACAGGCCGCCTGCCCCGCACGGGGCCCCCCACCCTGCCCAGGCCCTCCGCCCCCCACAGGCCCAATGCCCCGCACAGGCCCTCCGCCCCGCACAGGACCCCCGCCCCGCACAGGCCCCCCGCCCCGCACAGGCCCTCCGCCCGCACAGGCCCCCCGCCCCGCACAGGCCCCCCGCCCCCCACAGGCCCAATGCCCCGCACAGGCCCACCGCCCCCCACAGGCCCTGCGCCCCGCCCAGGCCCTGCGCCCCGCACAGGACCCCCGCCCCGCACAGGCCCCCCGCCCCGCCCAGGCCCTGCGCCCCGCACAGGACCCCCGCCCCGCACAGGCCCCCCACCCCGCACAGGCCCCCCGCCCCCCACAGGCCCAATGCCCCGCACAGGCTGCCTGCCCCGCACAGGCCCTCCGCCCCGCACAGGCCCTCCGCCCCGCACAGGCCCTCCGCCCGCACAGGCCCACAGCCCCCCCCACTCCCGCACAGGCCCCCCGCCCCGCCCAGGCCCCCCGCCCCACGGGCTCAGGGAGTGTGCAGTGACGGGCTGTGCCGGGAGCCCCGGTGAGCCGGCCGGTGTGTCCACAGGTGATGACCATGCCCGAGTACCTCAAGAAGCGCTTCGGGGGGCAGCGGCTCCAGATCTACCTCTCCGTCCTCTCCCTCTTCATCTGCGTGGCCCTGAGGATCTCGGTGAGTTCCCTGCTCCTGGCGTGGTAAGCTTGCAAGACTGGTTCTTAAAATATATATTGTATATATATATTTGTATTGCTTTCCGAGCGGGAGGGAGAGGGAGAGGGAGAGAGAAACATCCGTGATGAGAGAGACTCGTGGATGGGCTGCCTCCTGCACGCCCCCCACTGGGGATCGAACCCGCAGCCCGGGCCTGTTGTCCTTGACTGGGAATCGAACCGGCACCTGTAGGGGCACAGGACAGCACCCCACCAACTGAACCACACCAGCCAGGGCCCTGAATTTTTTTTATTATTATTCTTTTAAACCTAAGGCTGCCCCTAAGAAATAGTCCTCACACATACGTGTTGAAAGAATTCTAAAGCTGCTGTGTGTGCGCGTGTGTGTCAATTAAATCCCTTGGGGATAACCACGGAGGAAGGCAGAGCGGAGTCTGAGGAGCCAGCAGCACGTGGAGAGAACAAAACATGTTGATGCTCGTGCTGCGGGCCCGTCGGTGACTCAGGAGGCCTCGGCCTCGGGGGCAGAGTCCAGGCCGCTCCTGGGAAAGACGCTGACTCCCGGGATCGTGTCTGCTGAGCGGAGTCCGGGCTGGAAGCGTGAGCCTGCCGGGTGCGGCCTGAGCCTGCCAGGTGCAGTGTGAGCCTGCCTGGTGCAGTGTGAGCCTGCCTGGTGCAGGGTGAGCCTGCCTGGTGCAGGGTGAGCCTGCCGGGTGCAGTGTGAGCCTGCCGGGTGCAGTGTGACCTGCCGGGTGCAGGGTGAGCCTGCCTGGTGCAGGGTGAGCCTGCCGGGTGCAGGGTGAGCCTGACTGGTGCAGTGTGAGCCTGCCTGGTGCAGGGTGAGCCTGCCGGGTGCAGTGTGAGCCTGCCGGGTGCAGTGTGAGCCTGCCGGGTGCGGAGTGAGCCTGCCGGGTGCGGAGTGAGCCTGCCGGGTGCGGAGTGAGCCTGCCGGGTGCGGAGTGAGCCTGCCGGGTGCAGGGTGAGCCTGCCGGGTGCAGGGTGAGCCTGCCGGGTGCGGCGTGAGCCTGCCGGGTGCAGCGTGAGCCTGCCGGGTGCGGCCTGAGCCTGCCGGGTGCGGCCTGAGCCTGCCGGGTGCAGGGTGAGCCTGCCGGGTGCGGCCTGAGCCTGCCGGGTGCGGCCTGAGCCTGCCGGGTGCAGTGTGAGCCTGCCGGGTGCAGTGTGAGCCTGCCGGGTGCGGTGTGAGCCTGCCGGGTGCGGTGTGACCTGCCGGGTGCGGTGTGACCTGCCGGGTGCAGTGTGAGCCTGCCGGGTGCAGGGTGAGCCTGCCGGGTGCGGTGTGACCTGCCGGGTGCGGTGTGACCTGCCGGGTGCGGTGTGAGCCTGCCTGGTGCAGAGTGAGCCTGCCGGGTGCAGAGTGAGCCTGCCTGGTGCAGGGTGAGCCTGCCGGGTGCAGGGTGAGCCTGCCGGGTGCAGGGTGAGCCTGCCGGGTGCAGGGTGAGCCTGCCGGGTGCAGGGTGAGCCTGCCGGGTGCAGGGTGAGCCTGCCGGGTGCAGTGTGACCTGCCGGGTGCAGTGTGACCTGCCGGGTGCAGTGTGAGCCTGCCGGGTGCAGGGTGAGCCTGCCGGGTGCAGGGTGAGCCTGCCGGGTGCGGTGTGAGCCTGCCGGGTGCAGAGTGAGCCTGCCGGGTGCGGCCTGAGCCTGCCGGGTGCGGTGTGAGCCTGCCGGGTGCGGTGTGACCTGCCGGGTGCAGGGTGAGCCTGCCGGGTGCAGTGTGACCTGCCGGGTGCAGTGTGACCTGCCGGGTGCAGAGTGAGCCTGCCGGGTGCGGCCTGAGCCTGCCGGGTGCAGAGTGAGCCTGCCGGGTGCAGTGTGACCTGCCGGGTGCAGAGTGAGCCTGCCGGGTGCAGTGTGAGCCTGCCGGGTGCAGGGTGAGCCTGCCGGGTGCGGCCTGAGCCTGCCGGGTGCGGTGTGAGCCTGCCGGGTGCAGAGTGAGCCTGCCGGGTGCGGCCTGAGCCTGCCGGGTGCAGAGTGAGCCTGCCGGGTGCAGTGTGACCTGCCGGGTGCGGAGTGAGCCTGCCGGGTGCGGTGTGAGCCTGCCGGGTGCAGGGTGAGCCTGCCGGGTGCGGCCTGAGCCTGCCGGGTGCAGTGTGACCTGCCGGGTGCAGGGTGAGCCTGCCGGGTGCAGAGTGAGCCTGCCGGGTGCAGTGTGACCTGCCGGGTGCAGGGTGAGCCTGCCGGGTGCAGGGTGAGCCTGCCGGGTGCGGAGTGAGCCTGCCGGGTGCGGCCGAGCTTCTCCCAGCGCTTCCTGCGGGTGAGGCGCTCCTTGAGGGGCAGCGAGCAGCCTGTGCACTCGGAGTTCACCGTGTGGTTAAGGAGTTAAGCCTTCAGCCAGAGCCCGAGCCAGTGTGGCCCTTAGGCCCGTGGACCGCAGGGTCCCAGGTTCGAATCCAGGCAAGGCCACGAACCCCAGGGTTGAAGCATGTGCGGGAGGCAGCCAATCAATGTGCGTGTCTCTCTCTGTGCCTCTCCCCCTCCCTTCTGCTCCCTCCTAAAAAAAAAAAAAAAAAAAAAAAAGCCCTAGCCGGTATGGCTCAGTGCATAGAACATCAGCCTGCAGGCTGAAGAGTCCCGGGTTCGATCCCCAGTCAGGGCACATGCCTGGGTTGCAGGCTGGATCCCCAATAGGGGGGGTGCAGGAGGCAGCCCATCCATGATTCTCTCTCAGCATGGATGCTTCTCTCTCTCCCTCTCCCTCCCTCCCTCTCTGAAATCAATAAAAATATACTTTTTTTAAAAAAAGAGAGAGAGAGGTTGAGGCTCTGGCCTGAGGGACCCGCCTGTCCCCTTACAGTCAGACATCTTCTCCGGAGCCATCTTCATCAAGCTGGCCCTGGGGCTGGACCTGTACCTGGCCATCTTCATCCTCCTGGCCATCACGGCCATCTACACCATCACGGGTGAGTCCACTGCGCTCAGCTCTGCTCAGCCCTGCTCAGCCCTGCTCTCTCCTGCTCCCATCACGCCGACCGGCAACGAGCATCCTCCGCGTGAGCCTGGTCACGACCAAGGCGAGACCATCAGCCCTTCACTCCCACTCCGAGTGTCAGGCGCAGCCGCGACACACAAGCAGAGCTGGGCACGCGGGCCCTCTCAGTGCCGGTCACCCTGACGGAGGCTGACACTGTGATGGGGGGGGGCAGAGAAACGCTATGGGGCTCAGCCACGTGTCTCGTACCCAGACCGGCACCTGGGGCTCAGTGCAGCCTGCCCAGGGGAGGCCAGGATGGAATAGCAGCTCCAACAGGAGCCTGGCGAACCCGAGGCAGGGAGCAGGTGGATGCCGGAGCATAAGGGTGGCATGAGAAAGGGCGGACGGGAACGGTGGGTGGGTTGCGGGGAGAAGGTAGGTGGCAGCGATCCAAACAGGATTCCATGAGCCAAGCACACGGGTGGGGTGTCGCCGGGAAGAGATCTAAAGGTGAAGGCACGTAGGGGAGGGCACTTGATCAAACCTCCTGGCTCTTTCCTCCCTCCCAGGGGGCTTGGCCTCGGTGATTTACACGGACACCCTGCAGACCATCATCATGCTCATCGGCTCCTTCATCCTCATGGGCTTTGGTGAGTGGCGGCGTGGGAGCAGGGCCGTGGGTGGAGGTCCTGGGGCTGGTGGGTCCCGAGGATCCTGAGACTACGGCCAGGCTGATGGCGATGCCGGAGCCCTCCCACACGGGGTCATTAGGGAAACGGGGGGCGGTTCTTAGGTTTCCGGGGGACATTGTCTCGTGGCCGGTGCCGTTTCAGCGTTTGCCGAGGTCGGAGGCTACGAGAGCTTCATGGAGAAGTACATGCACGCCATCCCGTCCGTGGTCGAAGGCGACAACCTGACCATCAGGCCCGAGTGCTACACCCCCCGGGCCGACTCCTTCCACATCTTCCGAGACGCCGTCACCGGGGACATCCCGTGGCCGGGAATGATCATAGGCATGACCATCGTGGCTGCATGGTACTGGTGCACAGACCAGGTAAAGCGTGTGTGCGTGTGTGTGTGTGTGTGTGTGTGATTGTGTGTGTGACTGAGTGTGTGTGTGTGTGTGTGAGAGACTGTGTGTGTGACTGTGTGTGTGTGACTGTGTGTGTGTGAGACTGTGTGTGTGACTGAATGTGTGTGTGTGTGTGTGTGTGAGTACGTTTATGTTGTTCTTTTTCCTCTCCTAGAAAATCATCTAGTTTTACCATTTAAAAAGTCAAACACTTTGCCCTAGCCGGTGTGGCTCAGTGGGTAGAGTGTCAGCCTGCAGACTGAAGGGTCACGTTTCGATTCCAGTCGGGACACATGCCTGGTTACGGGCTCGATCCCCAGTGGGGGGCATGCAGGAGGCAGCTGGTCAACGATTCTCTCTCCTCATTGATCAATGACTCTCTCATCATTGATGTTCTCTCTCTCCCTCTCCCTTCCCCTCTGTAGTCAATATAAATATACTTTTTTTTAAAACAAAGAAAAAGAACCCTAGTCACAGTTGAGAAACCTGTAACTCACAGAACTCAAACTTTCCTGTGGGAGAAGCAGGAATCCAAATTCGGATTTTTCTGCAGAGCTCCCTCTTCTCCGCCATCACCCCACTTCTTACCGCATGCGAACCCCTGAAGAGGTGCCCCCCCCCACCCGGGACGCGCCCTCCGGCTGTCCCATGACCAGGCGTGCCCTCCCTGCAGGTTATCGTGCAGCGCTGCCTGTCCGGCAAGGACATGTCCCACGTGAAGGCCGCCTGCATCATGTGCGGGTACCTGAAGCTGCTGCCCATGTTCCTCATGGTGATGCCGGGCATGATCAGCCGCATCCTGTACACAGGCAAGTCCCGCACCCCTACGTTCTCGTCGCTGGTGCTCCCTCTAGTGCTCCCAGCTCCCGCGGGGCCACGTCCCCCCAGGCCAGTGCCCGGGGACCCACAGCTGTGACCTCTGAAAGGCGTGTTCTAGCTGAAGAGGAAGCAGATCGATGTGCGCAGTTCCAAGTGGAGCCTCTGTTTCCCGGCAAACATCTCTCCTCTAACCCATGACCTTGCAGCTTGTCTCTGAGGCCACTGGTGGTAGCGCCCACCTGCCTGGGCCCCCCTCGCTGAGCCCACTTCTCTGGCTTCCTCTTCAGAGAAGGTGGCCTGCGTGGTTCCCTCCGAGTGTGTGAAGCACTGTGGCACCGAAGTCGGCTGCACCAACTACGCCTACCCAATGCTGGTGATGGAGCTGATGCCTGACGGTGAGACAGCATCCTGCTCAATGGTTAGAGCATCGGCCTAGGAGCCAGGGGGTCTCGGGTTTGAGTCCCAGTTTAGGGCACGTACCTGGGTTGCAGGTGCCATCCCTGCCCCCGGTCACTGGCTCCCAGTGAGTGTGGGAGGCAACCCACGGATGTGTCTCTCTCGAAGACAAATGCTGCACAATGTCGCTGACACGTGGAGTCTAAAGAAATAGAGAAGTAGAATGGTGGGTGCCAGGGGGCGGGGGATGGGGAAATAGAGAGATATTGGTCAAAGGGTACAAACGTTCGGGAATGATATGGATAAGTTCTGGAGATTCCAGCCTAAAGACTGCAGTTAATAATAATGACTTGTGTACTTGAAATTTACTAAGAAAATAGATCTCAAGTATTCTCACAACATAGCAAGATATTAGTTACTGTGTGAGGTGATGGCTGGGTTAATTAGCATGATTGTGGTAACCATTCACAGTGTGTGTGTGTGTGTGTGTGTGTGTGTGTGTGTGTGTGTGTGTATTCATGTCATACACCTTAAATACATGCAATTTTTGTCAATAATTCTTTCTTCCATTAATTCAGTTGTCTTTGTCAGACATTTCTTGAGACATCTCTTCCACAGTCTACCAAATATAATCCCTACTAGAAGAATCCTCACTCCCTAAGATTCAAGATAATCATGATCGTTTAAATGGTAGATTTGCCCATAAAAGAGCTTCACAGCCCCAAATAAACAACCAAACAAAACAGAAACAGATGCATGGATACAGAGGACAGACTGACAGTCGCCAGAGAGGATAGGGGTTGAGGGACTGGGTGAGGAGAAGGTGAAGGGATGAAGAAGCACCAACAGGTGGTTATGAAATAGTCCCAGGGATGCAAAGCACAGCGTAAGGAATAAAGTCAATAACATTGCGATGGCTCGGAACGGTGCCAGCCGGGTACTGGGAATGCAGCGGGGAGCACTCTGTGGTGATTTGACCACTGTGTCACACCCCTGAGATGAATACAAAATAATGTGAAATAGAAGTTCTCATTTAGCCCAGCCAACTCGGTCCCCAGTGCTGGGCATGCAGGAGGCAGCTGATCAGTGATTCTCATCATCGGTGTTTCTCTCTCTCCCTCTCTCTTCCTCTGTGAAATCAATAAAATGTTTTTCTAAGTTATAATTTAAAGAGTTGCATAGCCATGATCTTATAAACTCAGAGAACTAGAGGTTAACTATTTATCAGGAAGCCAACAGCTAAAAAAAAAAAAAAAAAAAGAAAGAAAGAAAGAAAGAAAGAAAGAAGGAAGGAAGGAAGGAAGGAAGGAAGAGATGGTACCACACCATTTCCTGTCTTCCAAATTTAGGTTCCAGCAAGTAAGCTCTAAATTTGCATTTAGAACTAAAATCCTACACTGGATTATTCTCAGATCACCGAGAAATATGCAGAAAATGGTGCACGATGGCACGTATTCATGGGCGCATCAGTTAGGAAACAGTCACGTGACACCATTACCTTCGAATGGCCCTCTGGTTTGGCCAGGTGATCACGGCTCATGGCTTCCAGCTCCTAACACGTGGTTGCCTCCTCTCCCGGCCACAGGGCTGCGAGGCCTGATGCTGTCGGTCATGCTGGCGTCCCTCATGAGCTCCCTGACCTCCATCTTCAACAGCGCCAGCACCCTCTTCACCATGGACCTCTACACCAAGATCCGGAAGCAGGCCTCGGAGAGGGAGCTCCTCATTGCCGGGCGGTGAGCGATCCCTGGCTTCTGTCTCACATTTCTCCGGAAAGGGAGAGACACAGACGTGACCCAGCGCCTCCTCCTGTGGGGGTTCAGAGAAACCACTCAGAGAGTTCTAGAATGGGGTTTGATTCCCGGTCAGGGCACATGCCCAGTGGCGGGCCTGCAGGAGGCAGCCGATCCCTGATCCTCTCTCATCACCGATGTTTCTCTCTCTCTCTCTCTCCCCCCTTCCTCTCTGAAATCAATAAAAATATATTTTTTTAAATGCTAGGAAGAAAATTAAGGCAGGATTAAGGATGAGGACTAACGTAAGACGGTGCTCAAAGGGTCCTCATGGAAGAAGTGGCATTTGAGCAGAGCCCTGGGGAGAGAGCGGGGGAGCCCCGGGGCTCCATATGGAGGAGCAGTCAGCGCTGCTGGTGCCTCCACAGTCACGTGGGGGGCGGGGGTGAGGACAGCAGGAGGTGAGCGTGGCCCGTGAGAGCGATAGGAGACGGATCAGAAAGGTGGGGGTTGGGGGAGATCACGCAGGCTCCTCCGGCCATAAAAGGACTTCGGATTTTATTCTGCGTGAGGCAGCAAACAGCTGAAGATAAGAAAGCACCAGAGCCACACCATTTGCTTTCGGGTGATGATGGCAATGACCATGGGAGGTGTCATTTCTCCAATCTGTACTGTGTTCTAGGCCCTGTGCTCGGTTCGCCCGTGGTTTATCACGCTTAGTTAGTTATTGCAAGGTCGCAGAAGTTTTGTAGAGCTTAAGTGTGACCCCGTGCCTCAGACTCCCGCCCAAAAGTTTGTGTGTGTGTCCCCCCTGATCTCCCAACTCCCACCCTTCTCTTCCAGGTGAGCACACACAGAAGTCCAGTAAGATATTATTACTTGTTTAATCATGTGACAAGCACAGAAGTATATGGTGAAGTTTTTAAAAATATATATATTTTATTGACTTTTTACAGAGAGGAAGAGAGAGGATAGAGAGTTAGAAACATCGATCAGCTGCCTCCTGCACACCCCCTACTGGGGATGTGCCCGCAACCAAGGTACATGCCCTTGACCGGAATCGAACCCGGGACCTTTCAGTCCACAGGCCGATCGATGCTCCAAACCAGTTTCGGCGGCAAAGTGTTTTTTTAAAAAAGTGAAACAGTCTTGCTCCCTGACCCCCCAGGAGCAAAACCAAATGGTTGTTGACCGCATCTCAATATGTTAGCCAATTCCTTCTACCCGCCACAGTACTCCAGCAGCAAAAAACACACACACACACACACACACAAATCAGCATCTCTGGCCAGTCCCCCCAGCATTCTGGGACAGAGAGAGGGCATTTTCTCTCTAACGGGAGCATCCTGACTCAGTTTCTCTCCAGCTAGGAAAAAAAAAAAAAAAGACCAGCGTAGGAGTCTGCTTTCGGGGTCCTACACATGATCACCTACAACGAGTGCCGTGCACTCCTTTTTCTAATTGCTGCTGTGCACGCACTGCATTAGAGAATTATTAACCCAGCACTGACAGTGGAGCTGTTTTTGTAAATGAACACTTAATCTCGTCGTGAAAGCTATTAGGACTGATTAGAGGCCAGCAATTGCTTTATTGGCATTTTACTAGCAGATCATCATGAGCAATGGCCTGGCTTGGGGGCAAGGAGCTTGAATTTTTTTTTTTGGGGGGGGGGGGGGAATCAATGAACTGACCCAAGAATGAATTCAAGAAATGAAGCATAGCTGAAACCAGTTTGGCTCAGTGGATAGAGCGTTGGCCTGCGGACTGAAAGGTCCCAGGTTCGATTCCGGTCAAGGGCATGTACCTTGGTTGCGGGCACATCCCCAGTGGGGGGTGTGCAAGAGGCAGCTGGTCGATGATTCTCTCTCATCAATGTTTCTAGCTCTCTATTCCTCCCCCTTCCTCTCTATGAAAAATCAATAAAATATAAAATACAATTAAAAAAAGAACTGCAGCACAGGGCACCTGCCAGGAATGCTTCCGCTTACTCACCCCATCCTTCTGTCCGCTTCCCAGGCTGTTCATCATCCTGCTGATTGTCGTCAGCATCCTGTGGGTCCCGCTGGTACAAGTGTCTCAGAACGGGCAGCTGTTCCACTACATAGAGTCCATCTCGAGCTACCTGGGGCCGCCCATCGCCGCCGTCTTCCTGCTCGCCATCTTCTGCAAGCGAGTCAACGAGCAGGTGCGTGGACCGTTTTCCCGCTGGAGTGAGCAAGACGTCTTCCTCTCCCCGGGAGGAAAACCCATCCTCTCCACCCAATTTATACAACGCGAGGCCCGTCTGCTCCGCCACTCGTGACACACGAGTCATCGTCCTGTTCGTTCTACAAACTAAGTCACACGTTTTTGAATCCGTGAACAACATAAAAGCCCAGGTCACCTTAAGCTTGGGTCAAAGTAGGCTGTACAGGCTTGCCCCACTATCCGTAAGCTGAAATGGCATAAAGAGGCCATTGACCCTTGATTTTTATGGAAATTTTTTGAGCATTTCAGACCAAAAAAAAAAAAAATCCTTCTTTTATGTTTGAAAAGAAATTTTTTTAAAATACATATGTTGTTGTTAATCCTTATCCAAGGATACCTTTCCACTGATTTTTAGAGAGAGGGGAAAGGAGAGGGAGAAACAGAGAGAAACACCGATGTGAGAGACACATCCATTCGTTACCTCCCGTAGGCACCCCAAGCAGGGCTGGGGATCAAGCCGCAACCAGTACATGCCCTTGATGGGAATCGAACCCGGGACCCTTCAGTCCAGAGGCCGGTGCTCTATCCACTGAGCCACACCGGCCAGGGCCACGCGTAGTTCTTAGTGGAGAAAGCAGGAAGGACGGTAACGATGACCTTCTAGAATGAACGTCTCCTCTTCTCTGAACCCCCTGGCTTCGTTCTGGCTCCTTCTGCAGGGAGCCTTCTGGGGTCTCATCATCGGGCTGCTGATCGGCCTGTTTCGGATGATCGCGGAGTTTGCCTATGGAACAGGGACGTGCCTGGCCGCCAGCAACTGCCCCACAATCATCTGCGGCGTGCACTACCTGTACTTCGCCATGATCCTCTTCGTCATTTCCATCGCGGTCATCCTGGGCGTCTCCCTGCTCACCAAGCCCATCCCCGACGTGCATGTGAGTAATGAGGAACAGCTAGGTGCCCCTTTTATTTTTTAAATATATTTTTATTGATGTCAGAGAGGAAGACAGAGGGAGAGAGAGAGAGAAACATCAATGACAAGAGAGAATCCCTGATCGGCTTCCTCCTGCACGCCCCCTACTGGGCATGGAGCCCGCAACCCGGGCATGTGTCCTTGACGGGGAATTGAACCGTGACCTCCTGGTTCATAGGTGGATGCTCAACCACTGAGCCATGCCGGCCGGGCCAGAAATAATGTAAAACGGTGTGTTTTTGTGAACGAGTGTGGGAGGAGCCCTTTTCTTTGCTGTGTGTGTTCTCCCATGCTGTGTGATTTTTTTTTGCACTATCCAGTAAACGCTCTGTTATGTTATTGTAAACACTCGCTCATCACGAATGGGCCTGTCTGTGGTCTCTGGGCAGCTGTACCGCCTGTGCTGGTCTCTTCGGAACCGGACAGAGGAGCGGATCGATTTAGATGCGGACGAGCAGAGGCAGGAGGACGCTGCCGACGATGCGGATGAAGGTAGTGTCTGGTTTGCCTTTGGCTTGAGGACTCCCTCTCTCTCTCTCTCCCTCTCTCTCTCTCTCTCTCTCTCTCTCTCTCTCTCTCTCTCTCTCGCTTTGGACTGTTGATCCGTCGCTCCATGTGTTTGCGTGGAGTTGCTTGTAGGATGTGCTCTATGTCAAGAAACTCATTACTACTAAGGATATCACACCCCGTGTGATATGAGGTGCAAACGATTTCCCCAGCGAGGCCCTTGTTTGACTTTGTTTATTGGGCTCTATGCTATGCAACAGTTTTCTATTTTTTTTCTCTTAATATATTTTTTATTGATTGCAGAGAGGAAGGGAGAGGGAGAGAAAGAAACATCAATGATGAGAGAGAATCGTGGAACAGCTGCCTCCTGCATGCCCCCTACTGGAGATGGAGCCTGCAACCTGGGCCTGTGCCTTGACCAGGAATCAAACCATGACCTACAGGTTCACAGGTCGACACTCAACAACTGAGCCACGCCACCAGCTGAGCTCCATCTCTCTCTCTCTCTCTCTCTCTCTCTCTCTCTCTCTCTCTCTCTATATATATATATATATATATATATATATATATATATATATATATATATATATATATATAAAAGGTTAACATGCAAAGTGTCTTCTTGGGAGTTTGACTGGGAGACCAGGAGTTCAATCACTCGCTGTGACATGCACTGACCACTAGGGGGTGGCGCGGAATGAAGGAAGGCCCCAGCCGGTATGTAGCTGGAAGGCCCTGATCACCAGTCATGCATAGGGACCCTACCTGTGCCTGAATTTCATGCCCTGGGCCCTAGTTCTTCTATAAGCAGAGTTATCTGTTTCCTCAGGGATGTTCCTTCTAAGGAACATGGGAGTAGTTGTCGTCATTCTTTGCCGCCATCGCACGGCCTTGCTGGGAGTCGGGTTTCCCGAGCTTTGTGACCGTTCGTGTATCTCTCTTTGGTCCAGACGATCCCGGGGAGACGCAGGGGTGTCTCCGGAGAGCCTACGAGGCGTTCTGCGGCCTGCAGAGGAAAGGCCCCAAGCTGAGCAAAGAGGAGGAGGAAGCCCAGAGGAAGAAGCTGACGGACACGTCCGAGAAGCCCTTCTGGAGGACCGTGGTGAACGCCAACGCCGTGGTGCTGCTGGCCGTGGCCGTCTTCGCCCACGGCTACTTCGCCTGAGCCCGAGGGAGCCCCCAGGGGGTTCACGACGCAGAGGACATGGCCGGCCTTCCACGGGCGGGGCTCCTTGTGATGCGAAAGGGAGACGAGCAGTCGCTAATTTTCATCCAGTAACTCGAGGCATGACGTTCAGCGCTTGCTGTTCCTTGGTGTCCGTGGAGTAAGCGTGGATTGTTTAGAAAGCCAGTGAGCTGGCTCCGTGTGTGTGTGTGTGTGTGTGTGTGTGTGTGTGTGTGTATGTGTGTGTGTGTGACAAGGAGGATTTGGGAGTAAGTTATTTTTGTATGTAGCTCACCAGAGAGATGGCCCCGCATCAAACTTGCTTCCTGCTATTTCCAGAGATTTCCACGTGGAAGGACTCCCTCCCCCTACTCTGCCTCACCTGGGACCCCTCATCGGAAAAACTGCGATATTGTTTTCCCTCCCCAATGCGCCTCGCTGATCTCAGGGGCTTGAAAAATGGGAATAGTTCCCAGTAGTTGAGGGGAAGAGGGCTGGACATGCCCGTGGTGACTATTTTTACGGACTTTTTAGGAAGTTATTCGTTTCTGCCTTCAATAAGCTCATCCCCCACTGAAAGTTAGCATATCGAGCCATTGCTTTTCTTAAACCACTTTATTAAAATGTAATTCACATACCATGAAATGTATCTATTTCAAGTGTACAGTTCAAATAGGGGATAGGGGGGCCTGGTGAAAAAAAAGTGAAAGGTTATATAAAAACAACATATATATATATATATATATATATATATATATATACACACACACACACACACACACACACACACACACGCATACATATAACAACACATAGACACAGACAACAGTGTGATGATAGCCAGAGGGAAAGGGGGAGGGGGGAGGGGGAGGTAAAGAGGGATAAATGGGGACAGAAAGAGAGTTTCTTTGGGGTGCTGAGCGCACAGGGCCGTGGGCAGATGATGTTTGATTTAGCTGCACGTTGAAACCTGTGTGGTTTTATTCACCAATGACACCCAGTAAATTCCATTAAAAGATGAATGCTAAAGTGTGCCGTTCCCTGTGTTTCAGAATTGCCACAGTCGTGCAGCATCGCCACAGTTTAATTTTATAGATTAGTGTTAGCCAGCTGGTTTGGCTCAGTGGATAGAGCGTCGGCCTGCAGACTGGAGGATCCCAGGTTCAATTCCAGTCAAGAGCACATACCTTGGTTTCGGGCTCCTCCCCAGCCCAGGCCTTGGCCTGGTGTGCAGGAGGCAACCAATCGATGTGTCTCTCTCACATCGATGTTTCTCTCTGTCTCTCCCTCTCCCTTCTACTCTCTCTAAAAATCAATGGAACCATAGCTGGTTTAGCACAGTGGATAGAGTGTCAGCCTGTGGACTAAAGTGTTCTGGGTTCAATTCCAGTCCAGGGCACATGGCCCAATCCCCAGTAGGGCGCGTGCAGGAGGCAGCTGATCCATGATTCTCTCTCATCATTGATGTTTCTATCTCTCTCTTCCTCTCTAAAATTATGTGTGTGTGTGTGTGTGTGTGTGTGTGTGTTTAAAGAATATATATATGGAAAAATATCCTCGGGTGAAAGTGTAAAAATAATAATAAATAAATAAGCAATCACTCTGCCCCATAACCCATTTTCCGTTTGAAGAAAGGAATAGCTCTTCCCTGCACCCTGAAATTATTCTAGTCCAGTTTATCACTTACTGGCACCCCAGCGGCTCAGTCTGTTCCCACAGGACATGGTGCAGTGAAGGCAGAGCGACTCCCCTCATGATTACTGGAGATTTTGAAATAGAAGTCCTTCCCAGACTTGACTACCTTCTGTTCCAGTTGCTGTATTCAGTTCTCAGCTGCCGTGGTGCCTGCTTCCTAATCTACATCTTACACCAACGGCACACCCCCCTCCTGCCCCCTCAGACACGGTCCAGACCCTCTAGAGAACAGGAAACCGGGAAGCCATGGTTTTTGGTATGTTTATTTTTTTTATCAAAGTAATACATTTTCATTGGGGGACCAGATGCAGTGTGATAGGACACCCGTACAGCATCTCTCCTGGATGGACCGCCCATCCCCGTTTCCACGTGACCTCGTCACACCCAGAGGAGGGAGGTAGATCGATAAGCACCAAGGTTCCCTTTTTTTTTTTTTTCCAAAGAGAAAACAATACACAGTGGAAACAAAATAATTTATCACAATAGTCACGGCGAATCATTGGCAAAGCCAGGCTCAGGCTCCGAGACAACCGAGATGCTTCGTGTGGCCACGCCGTCCGCCAGCCATCGATCCTGGCCCTGTACCCTCTCCAACCTCAACAGTGCCACACACTCCACACGAAGCCACGTGGAACTCTCCACACTTCCCTCTCCCCTTCCCGGCTTTAGGGGGACCACTCTCAGCCCCATGGAGCCCCAGACCACAGCTCTCCTCCAAGCTCGCCTGGGATCAGGCCACGCTAACATCCTGGCCTTTTCTTTACGGTCACCAGACTCTATTGCCATCTAGTGGAGATTTCACAGGCGGGATGGAAAGAATTCTATTTAAAGTCGCTGCCTTTTAAAACCTTCTCTCTGGGACACAAACACGTTCAACAAGAAATATACTCCGCTCCCACCTGGGAAGAAGACCACCAAGGCCCTAACCTTGGTCAATGGGTGATGGCCGGTCTAGACGCCTGGAAAGAGTGAGGGCTGTGGTCATGTGAACTCACGGGGAGGAGGATCTCAGGCTAATTGTCTCAGTAGTTCAGGACAGCGTGGTGGCTTTGAGACGGTGGATTCTGCCCCCCCCAAACACACACACACACACACACACACGAGGCACATTTGCTCTGGGACATGACCCAGAGTCAACTTCGAAGTCAGTGTGTCAACACCCACATCATGAGGAAGGGGCCTCTGGGAAGGCATGACAGTCACTACAGGGTGTACTTGGTGCAGCCACAGGAAAGGGTGAACCCCCAAAACAGAGCATGTGTGCATGAAGAATGCCCCTGTTAGTCATTCAGGCCACACACGAATTCGGCTTCCATGAGTTGATCAGTGTATCGGGTTGACTTTTCTTGCGCCAAAAAAACAACTTGACAGAGGTATTGATGGAGAGTGAAATCTTTCTTTAAAAAAAAAAAAGGGGGGGGGGGAGGGGGGCTCCGATAGAGAAAGTGGCAGGAACCGGGGAGGCCATACCTCTGGAAATGAACAGTCAAGGGCCACAAACAACGTGGACACGCTCCATCGGCCTGAGACGAGCGTGCCCCCGCCACATCGGGGGGGATTCTGGTTCTCGGTCTGCACTCCCGTCCACGAGCAGACTTCCTTCCACGGCTCTGACATGCTGTGTACCGCCGCCTGAGTCACACTGGCCTCCAAGGCGTAGGCTCACAGCACGCTCGTTGCCTTGGCCCGGCTCTCCTCTAACGACACATGCACACATTTATCGACGGGACTGGACACGATTTACAACTGCCTGGTTTCCCTCCAACACCCCAGGAGGGGACTGGGGGGGTGGGGGGGCAGAGGGAGCAGTCTGGTCTCCTCGGTTGGCGGCCGAGGGCGGGGCTCAGGCGAAGAAGGCGTGGCAGAAGACGGCCACGGCCAGCAGGATGATGCCGTTGATGTTCACCACGGTCCGCCACAGCGGCTTCTCGGACGTGTCGGTGAGCTTCAGCTTCATGGCTGCCTCCTCCTCCTTGGTCATCTTGGGGCCCTTCTGCTGGTCCAGGCCGCAGAACAGGTCGTAGGCCTTCCGGCAGCATCCTTTCTTCTCCTCGGGAGCTTCTGTGTCGGGGGGGCGGGGGAGGGGGGGGAAAGGAGTAAAGGAATGGTTGGCTATGGCAGCAGGAGGGACTAAAAGGCGTGGCTCAGGGGTTGAGCATCAACTTATGAACCAGGAGGTCACGGTTCGATTCCCAGGCGGGGCACAGGCCCGGGGCTGAGGGCTCACTCTCCAGTGTGGGGCGTGTAGGAGGTAGCGGACCGACGATTCTCTCTCATCCTTGATGTTTCTCTCTCTTTCTCTTCCTCCCTCTCTCTCTTCCTCTCTTGAATCAATAAAAATATATATTTTTTTTAAAATTCTCTGGTGGACAAAAAAACTCTCAGTGGTGGTCACCTCTGGGCCAAGTAATGGAAGTGGGTCCATTTTTACTTGTTAAGGTAGAACTTCATGTGTTGCTTGTTTTTAAACATATACATACTTTTTTTTTTTTTTTTTTTTTTTGGTTTGTAAAAGACCTTGCCCTCTGCGGAAAATATTCCAGAAAGTCTCTATGTCTCATTTTACTCATCGGTAAAATTGGACGCATTATACTTGCATTATCTTTTCTTTAAAGGATGATGTGGTGCCAAAATGAAACACTAGACTAGAGTAAGATATTCCGTACCTCCTCCTCTGCACCTGCAAGCTTTGAGCGGATGTCCCAGAACCCATTCCCTCCTCTCACACCTCCCACCCAGCTCCCATCGCATCCCCCCCCCCCCCCCCCGCCCCAGGAGAGCGATCTGGGCTTTGATGGAGGCACTCACCTATTTCAAAGGTCTCCTCTGGGGCTTCGTCGACGACGTCCTCCTCGGTGGCATCCAGGTCGATCCGCTCCTCTTTGCTGTTGCGCAGGCTCCAGCACAGGCGGTAGAGCTGTGGAGGAAGCAGAGCACGTCAACAGGGAGATCCCAACAGGGTCTCAGGCCAAGAAGCTGGGAGATCAAGAAAGAAAAGGGCATGTGGCCTCTCAGTACCAATAAGAACATAGATTGCAGTTCCCATCCACAGCGTTTTATCTAAATATGTCAGGAACTTAGGTGTCAATCACAGACGTGTACACATTAGCCCCTGTAGCATACGCATATTTGGAGGCTAAGACGATGCCTTGACTACAGAAATAAATGGTTTGAATGAATGAACGCTTGCTGCCAATGAGAAATGAATTGGTTCCTTTTGGCACTGGTTGTGGGAAACAAGACTAGACATCCATCAGTCCAGACCAACCGCATAAGGTCATATTGTTGTACCATCTACGTGTGTT